TGGTTGTATTGTAAATGAAACAATTTACCAATTGTGTTTTTTTTGCAATCTCTCGAGCTAATGTAATCGCTTGAGTTCATAAAAGTTTGAAACGGCGGAAAACATCAAAGCATGGCTGGCCGTAACACAATCAAACCATATCTCGCATTGTAAAAAAACAAAAATGAGTAATCAAATCACATAGGATCCTAATTTCTGTAATTTATGAAATCGATATAGAAACTTAGAAACTATAAAAGCTATAAAAAAAACCACCTAAAATTTGCTATTGACTATTGAGCAAGTTCCATTATTAAATTTGTAAACAATTACATAAAAAAATGCTGCTTTATGGTTCAATTCAATTGTGCATACAACGGCCAGTAAGCCACCAACGAATTCAATTCAAACAAAGCAACAAATTAATCTACTTATCTCGAAAATTTACAGCATTTTGATTGTATTTTTAACGTCAAAAATGGATAATATATGTTTAGCAAAAAAAAATGGATAATAAATATTCGTAAAAAGATGATGAGACAATTTTTTTTTGTTTTTATAAACCGTGGGAATTCCGAACTTTTGGTTAATAATCTCTTCGGTATCCAGAAAATTTTTGAATATTTCATATTTAAATAAGAACTCTCTATTTCAAAAAGAATTTGAACTTGGGGCCCAAAAAAAACTAACCTCTTGTACTGCCACTACACCGCCTCTTTAGTTGATGAGACCAAATTGGTCAAATCAAGCTTACATAATACATAAGAATGGCTAATGCAATGCCCGGTCACATGGAAGACCATAGCTTCGCTGCTTAAAACTAAATAAAAATGTCGTTCTAAAAAAAACGAGTCATTATACATTGCCATATAGTTTTCGACCATGTTATATTTGTCATTACGCCAAAAAAATATTTGTTATTACATAGATCATATTTACTTTACAACGTTATTCAAGAAATTGACGCGCCTATATTTTGTTTTTTTTTCGACACGCGCCTGTACAATTGGAAAAAGAAGAAAAGAAGAGAAGCCGAATCCTCGAGGCTGAAAATAAATCATTCTGATTGGTTGGTTAACAAATGACGCGGATCGCAAACAAACAAGCAATCTTAACCGTTGATAAGACCAAAAGATCTAACGGACTAAAAACACAAACACTTCTCTCTCTCTCTCTTCACTATAAAAACACATCACAACCTCTCACTCTTCTTCAACATC